TGCTCCTACTTGCGCTGGAGAAAATAGGGAAAGGGCGAATGACTTGAAAGGTTCTACACCTTCCCTGAAAGAAACCTTTATCTCCTGTAGCTGCAGTGCTGAGATTTCTAAAAACAAAATCCACAGTCTCATCCTGAGAGTGGCTGAATTATAATGCAGATTGAATTCTCAACCTTATGGATGTCCTCTGTTAAGGTGAGGTCATTGATTAAGAAGGAAAGGGATCCTGAAAATTAGAATCAGGACATATAGAAGATCCCCGTGAACCTGGGTGCACTGAACCCGTAAATTCTGCTGAATCTTCTTTGGCAATAGAAGAGGCCATTTTACTTCTGTTGGAGGAGGTTCAACCTGCTTTGCCTGAAGAAGCCGTAATGAGCTCGCCTGAGGTATTTGCCTTGAAAGACACTCTTGATTCCTCTCAGGAACTATCCCCACCATTCATTTTTGCTTCTAGACCTATAACGAGACTCAATTTCCACCTGGCTCCAGAGAATGAGATGCAAAGTGTGACCTGTAATGAAGTACACTACACACCCCCAAAACAGCATGATTTTCTAATTTATACAGATAGATATTTGGGCAATATGTGTCAGGATGGATATTAAGGATGTGGGATAACAGTGTAAGGAAGATATAGTTTTATCAGACCTTATTTATTGATATGGGCCCACTAAGCAGAGTTTCTTCATTTAATGTTGCAGCTGAGGGGTTAGAAAATCTCTATCAGTTTGTTTGCTGGTTTGCTGAAACATGGACCAAAAGGTAACTTATATTAAATGAGGTGGAAATGCCAGGACTGCCTTTTTATGCTGTAGAGGAAGGTATCCAAAGTCCTAGGGAAATTGAAATGTCAGAATGGATTCATCATTTAAGACCTACTCACCCACCCTGGGACCATCCTTTCACCAGACGTGAGAAATAAATTTGTGAGGGGAACCCCGTATCCTTGAAGAGCTCTGTGACTGCTCTTCTCTGCAGGTCAGAAATTACCTTGGGAGCTGCTGCCTGCCGCCAAATGCTGATCCCTAAATGAAATGGGGATAATTAGATCCCAGGGGGGCAGGGTCCAAGTACCACAACTTAATTACCAAATCAAAGTGGGCATGGTTACCATAATGGACAGTGGAATCAAGGCAGTAATAAGAATAATCTGACTGTCTGATGCCTATGATGTTGGCTAATTGATCATGGTGTCCCTAAAAAAGAAATAGATAGGCAGTCTATTAAATTCTTACTTGATTTGTATAAGTGGTGGGTTCTAGGTGAAGTGAATAGAAATCTAATTTATATCACCAAAACAGAGATTCATGTCTCCTCAATCAATTCCCAGATTTGATTTAATTTTAAGACTCAGAACCCCTTGAATAAAGGGGGGGGCCTGTCTCCTTGAGGAATGACTTCACCTCACTGCCAAAAATTTATACATTTTACTGCAATAGACACTTATGCCAGATATGATTTGCTTTTCCTGAACACAACAGTTCTGCCAAAACTGTGGATGTACAGAATGCCTTATTCACTGTCACTGTATTCCACACAGTGTATCGTCCAGTCAGTCAAGGAACTCACTTCACAGCAAATGAAGTGCAGCCCTAGGCCCAGGATTATGAAATCCATCATGTTTCCCATTATACTGAAGTAGATACTTCAAAGAACACTGGGATGGCCTTTTGAAGATTCAGTGACGGTCCCAGTGAGATGGAAATACCTTTCAAAGCTGTGGTTAATATCTAAATCAGCATCCAACATATGGTGCTGATTTTCTCATAGCCAGGACTGACAGGTCCAGGAATCAAGAGATGGAAATGGGAGAGGTATCACTCACTGTTACTGCAAATGACCCAGTAGCAAAATCTTTGCCTTCTATCTCCATGACCTCATGCTATGATGGTCTAGAAGTCTTAGTTCCAAAGGAAGAAATTCTTCTACTAGGAAACATAAAAAGGATTCCATTGAAACAGAAGTTCAGACTGCCACCTGGCCACTTGGGGCTCCTCCTGCCTCGGAATCAACAGGAAAGGACAATATTACTCTACTGATTGGGGTGACTGATCTTGATTACCAAGTAGAAATTGGGTTGTAATTGGAAGTGCAAAGGAGAATATCTGGAATACAGGAGATCCCTTAGGTTGTCTCTCGGAGCTACGATGCCCTGTGATTCAAGTCAATGGAAAACTACAACAATCCAATGAAGGTAGGACTGCTAATGATCCAGACCCTCCAGGAATGCAGGAATGATGGTCTGAGTCACCCCACAAGGCAAAGAATCATGACTAGCTGAGGTGCATGCTGAGGGTAGAGGGAATACAGAATGGGTTGTGGAAGAAGGTACTTTAGCTATGCGGCTAAAACCATGTGGCCAATTGCAGAAATTAAGACTTTAACAGTTATAATATGCCTTTTTATTTTGTTATGCACATGTTTATGTGTGTTTTGTGTTTTCTTTCTTACCCCCTTATCTTATAAGATGTATTAATAATAGTTAACTTTGCACCATTGTATTTAATTTACAGGATACCAAGGAGAAGAGAGAACATCACCCAAGGGCTTTGGATTCTCTTCTGGGGAAAGATTAGAACACTTTCAGTTGTACATAGGATAGTTACATCATTTTAGATGGAAGCGTGTCTCTGTTATTGTCTTTATTTGGTTATTAAATATGGTTTAAGGAGATGTATATGGGCACCAAGTCCATAAGGGGTAGACTGTGATGTTTCATACGTCAAAACTTTGCTAGGCTCCAGTCCCTAGTTATTCAACCAAACAGTAATCTGTGTGCACCTGACTGTTACAGACAGGAAGAGAAAAAATAAAACCCAACCCCCCAACTTTTCACGTTCCCTTCTAAAACGCATTCGTCTTCCAAAATAAGGGTTATATATACTACTGATTAGTAATAGTTAGATGTTTTATATATAGTGCCTCATTTAATCCTCACCTTGGCCTGTGAGAATGAATAATTGGAACACAGAGTGAATAACTAGCTTGAAATCTTTCAGCTAGTGAATTCAAGATCAGGATTTAAATTCAAATTGTCTGACTCCAGAACTCAACGTTTTCCACTGAGACACGTAGACACTACTATAACTACAAATTTCATAAACACTAAGAAACAGCGTATGCTTCTATACAAACTGCTCGACCTTGAATTCCAGACTTCTTGTTCATGAACCCTTATCTTACTCACAGAGAATGGGAATTTTTTTGTGAACCAAGTGATAGCCTTTAACACCCTTAAGACTTTTTAAAAAAAGTTTCTGTTTGTTTCGTATTTGAACACTTGCTGAAAGGAGACTGCCTAATTTAAAGAAAACAGGGAGTCAAAGCTACAGCCCAGCCATCTCCGCATTCCTTGGTTGTGTACTTGGGCAAATCACTTAAATCTGCTGAGCCTCATTTTTATTCTTCAATAATTAAGAAATAATAATAATAATGAAGAGGTAATAATCTTTAAAATTTTCACAAAATGGTTCTGAAGACTCTTTGAGACACCATAAGCGATGCTACTGTATACATTTAAGAATTGAATTCAATATTTATCTTTCCTACTGACTTCGACTGATTGATAATAGTTCTATATCTTGCTCACTTTTGCACACGACCTTATGCAAAATAGTTGCACAATAAATACAGGTTGGATTAGGTGAATAGTAGGTACTAAATAAATAACAGGTGATAAACTCCATAAAGGCACTGGTTATGCTTGTTGTTTTCATTGCTGTATCTCCAGTATCCAATATTATACCAGCATACGATAAAAATAAATGAACAACAATTAAAATAGCATATTGATCAATAGATCAATTTCCAGGGTCTTTCACTGGTGGATGTTGGGAAAGAAACTCTCCAAGCCCATTTACAACTTCCCTTTCCTCACTGTCCCTTTCAAGCTTCCATTATTTATGTTCATCCTTAAATGACTAAACTTCTTAAATGTATAGCCTGAACCACAGCAATCCTTTTTTTACTACCCCTTCTTCCCTATCTCCTCCTCCTGAAAATGTGCCCTAAAAGTCAGCAGCAGTCACTGGCAGATGCATTATGAAAGTGTGAGATCCCATTTCACTCTTTTTTTTTTTTTTTTTTGCTCTATTTTCCCACCTCAAATCACTTAGATATTTAGATCAATCAGTTTTCCTTCATCTAGGGGATGTGCTGATGACTTGCTA